GATTGTATTTTATGTTATTGAAAGAGGTCCCTAAGGAAGTCCTTCTGTGTAAGGACGAAACGCGTAGGACCAGTGTTTCTTTCATATTTTCTTTTATAATTTTTATTTGTACACCTCCTGATTTTAAGAAGTGAATAAATCGCCTTTGAAGTATTCCTTGGGTTGCAGTTTGTTGAACCATCTTGCTGACCTTGATACCCAATCGGCTATCACTTGAGGAGGGATATTTAAAGAAAAAAACCCCATCTACATCGTGGGCAGGCACCCATAATACGCTTTACCATTTTGGAATATGTGAGTGCATATCAATCATTTAATTCTTATAGTATCAAGCAATATTTCTAGGTACACTAGCAGAATCCCAAAATATCCTATCAATTATACAGTTCTGTCATATGGTTATCAGCTGGGAAATAACCTTGGGAAGCAGTGTATCTATAAGTTAAGTTATATATATATTTTTTTCTATACACACCACTTTGTTCACGGGTGGTTGTGTGTATTTGAAATAAATGTGCTAAACCTGAGCACAACCTGCAAGACCAGGCATCTACATGTAAAGGACGAGCTGCAGTGGAGTAAGCACCTCAAAAACCAAGAAAGGTCTCAGGCTCCTGCTTCCTCTTCTGCTGCTGTCTCGGCCTCTTCCTCCACCTCTGGAGTCACAGTGGCACCTGCCACCCTGCAAACAGAGGATGTGGCAGCAACGCCACCACGTCCGCCACCGTCCCCAAGCATCTCCACACTGTCCCATGGGAGCGTTCAGCTGTCCATCTCCCAAACACTGAAGAGAAAGAAGAAGTACCCCCCTAGCCACCCGCGATCCCTGGCCCTGAATGCCAGCATTTCAAAATTCATGGCCTTTGAAATGCTGTCATTCCCTCTGGTGGAGACGGACAGTTTTAAAAACCTGATGGCGGTGGCTGTCCCACAGTGCATGGTTCCCAGCCACTACTACTTTTCCATGCAAGCCATCCCTTCCCTGCACAACCAATTGGCGGACAAAATCAGATGTGCACTGCGCAACTCCATCAGTGGCAAGGTCCACATAACCACAGATATGTGGACCAGTAAGCATGGGCAGGGACGCTATATCTCCCTAACTGCACGCTGGGTAAATGTAGAGGTGGATAGCAGTTTGGCGCATGTCCTTCCGCCACTGAGAATTGCAGGGCATTTCTCTTTGCCTCCTGTTGCCTCCTCCTCCTACTCTGCTTCCTCCTCCTCTACCACCACCTCATCCGGGCAGCATAACACCTTCACCACCAACGTCAGCACAACAAGTGGGAAATGAAAGCAGGCTGTTTAAAAACTCATATGTTTGGGGGAAAAAACCCACACCGAGCAGGAGCTGTGGACATGCATGGAACAACAGACCAATTAGTGGTTGTTGCCACTGAGCCTCAAGCCCGGCCTGGTGGTGTGCGATAATAGGCAAAATCTCGTAGCAACTCTGGGCCTAGCCGGTTTGCCGCACTGTGACAGATCCCTCTGTCTTAGAACTATACTGCTATCCCGTTTGATTCATGTGGATTCGTGTAATTGCCTGCCAGTAGTTCCCCGTTCATTTATTTTTTAATCTACCGAACAAACTTCCGAACGGCCGGCCACCCAGAAGAGAAGTGTGCTGCTGATTCACCTATTGGCCTCAATTAGAACGTTGTGGTTAACCGCAGACACCTCTTAATTGAAACCGTATGCTGGGTGGTCGTCGTTCGTATGTCGACCACGAGGCGGTGGCCATCTTAGATGCATGAATGAACAGCAGTGTGTGTCGACAATCTTATGGAACCCAAAATGGACACTTTTTCTCCCGAACACCACTGAAACTGCCGACTTCCATTCTTTGTCATCTGGCATACGAACGCCGGTCCGGTCAGGACTTTTATTTCACGAATGGACTTAACCCAGATAGCCATCCCATTGAACTGTGTGTATTGGATCTGAGTGGCATTCAGTAATAATGTGCACTCAGATCTAGGCTATCTGGGGATACGTTATATCATGGGTCGTCAACCTGGTCCCTATCGCCCACTAGTGGGCATATCATGATTCCAGGTGGGCGGTAGGGATTTCCTCATTTGGAGAGATTGGGTGGGTGGGCGGGTGCAAGCCGGCGGTACCCCTGCGACCGGGTACCGCCATCACCATTTGTGGCCCTGGCCCGGGCGGCAAACCGCCGGGGTCGCCGTCCAAGGGGTCCATCGGGTGGCCAATGCTGTCAGGGCCACCTGATGGATGTGAATTGTGAGGGGGCCCGGTCAACGCTGGGCACTTTAACAGCGCGGCCGCGCCCCCTGTGATTACATCACGGAGCTGGGAGGAAGTGACTGCACGTCACTCCTCCCAGCTAACACTGAGAGCCACGTGGGAGGAAGACCAGGGAGTCAGAGTGGGAACTCTGACTCCCATCCACCTGAGCCACCACTGGACCCCAAGGAAAGTCACCCTCCTGCACCTTAAAGGTAGGAAACAGGAGGGTGACTTAAATATAATGTGTGTGTTTGTTTGTGTGTGTCTTTGTATGTATGTCTTGTGTGTGTGTGTCTTTGTATGTATGTCTTGTGTGTGTCTGTATGTGTGTGTATGTGTCTTTGTATGTTTGTGTGTCTTATGTATGTGTCTTTGTATGTATGTCTTGTGTGTGTGTATGTGTGTCTTGTATTTGTATGTATGTGTTGCGTGTGTATGTGTCTTTGTATGTATGTGTGTCTTATGTATGTGTCTCTATGTATGTGTGTCTTGTGTCTGTGTGTATGTGTGTGTGTCTTTGTATGTATGTCTTATGTGTGTGTCTGTGTGTATGTTTGTATGTATCGTGTGTGTGTGTGTATGTGTGCCTGTCTGTTTGTATGTATGTGTCATGTGTGTGTGTGTGCCTGTCTGTGTGTCTGTATGTATGTGTGTGCCTGTCTGTATGTATGTGTCTGTATGTGTGTCTTGTATGTGTGCCTGTCTGTTATAGTGGGCTATAGTAAGTGGGCTACCTAGCTCAGCCTTCCTACTGGGCATTGCTATAAGTAAGGTTAAAAAATAGAAAAAAGGGGAAAAAAGGTGGGGAGGGGAATTGAGGAGGAAGAGGAGGGGAGCTGACGCACAGATGAGAAATCATATTATGCGCAAACAGAGAAGTCGTCTGAATATCACCGAAAGAGGAGACCTTCGTTTGTTCCTTACGAAAATCGAACCAGATATCAAATATTTAGTCTCGCAGTATCAACCTCAAGGATCTCATTAATCACTAGTAAAGGTAATTTCAATTGACTTTATTGTTTTCTCATTAAACTTTAGAACGTTAAAAACATTATAAACATGCATATAGTAGAAATAAAAAGATAAATGTACATTTATTTTTTAAAACGCCCTCCTTTCTAAAAAATATTCTGCACTTGCGCGAAAACTGGTGGGCGGTAAGGAAATTTTTCCATCAAGAAAGATGCATTAGTGGGCGGGAGGAAGAAAAAAGTTGACTACCACTGCATTATATGTACTGAATACATTGGGTAGTTTCACAGTTATTGAATTTTATGTATTTTTATTGTATCATGTAAATTGGCGTTTTGCCTCTATCCATGGAGATAATTGGATTTCTTCCCAATTATCTCCAGGGTAGAGAGGAGGGGTTTGCTTGTACAAAGGGGAGTGTTTATGCCTGAGCCACTGTGATTGGCTACTGTACCATACTCTTCCCAGTCTTCCATCTGGTCCCCTGGGGGAGTGTCCACCAGGTGGGAGACCTGCATAAATACCGGGCATGTAGCCCTCAATAAATGAGATTCCTGTTTTACCCTCAAGACGGAGCTTGGTCTCGTGTTTGGGGGGATTGCTACTTTGGATTATTCTTTTGCCTGTTCCAGGAGAGAAGGATTTCTTATGATTCTCCATTCGGGAAATTGGAGTATTCGTGAGTAGTGATGTCGCGAACAAGAAATTTTCGGTTCGCTAACGGCGAACGCGAACTTCCGCAAATGTTCGCGAACCGGCGAACTGCCCGAAACGCCATTGACTTCAATGGGCAGGCGAATTTTAAAACACACAGGGACTCTTTCTGGCCACAATAGTGATGGAAAAGTTGTTTCAAGGGGACTAACACCTTGACTGT